TTATTTCGAAATATGGTCAATTAACAAAAACTGCCCCTTCTTTTTTTGTGTTAGTTTCATTGCCTCCTCTTCTTACATAATCCATTTTAACTTCATGGTTCTAACTGATATCTTTAGACTGTTTGTTACGTAAATTGTGTATATCCGCCTCTGTTTTCTTCTAGCATTTTTTAATGGTCTTATTCTTCATGTTTAAATCTTTAATCTACTTCAACAATATTTAGGGTAAGAAAGAAAGTAAGGCTCTAATTCCTCCCTCCTACCCCTCAAAAAAAATTGTTAGCCAGTGACCCCATCATTATTTGTTGAATTCTGTTTTTCCCAGCTGATAACAGATACTATATTTATCCTAGATTATAATCCTTCTTTATCCTTGGAACTTCTAAATTGTTCATTGATCTCTGACTTCCTTTGCTGATACCATGCTGCTCTTATTACTCTGGCTTTATAATGTATTTTAATGTCTTGGGATTCAAACAATGTCTGGCATATTGTAGACACCACTAAATATTTTTGGAATGAGTGCATTTAGCGGGGTAAGTTGGTTTAACCCTTTCTGTGAAGTTTCTTGCCTATTCTTGAAATAATATTTTAGCTTGCTTTTCTTATGGTCAGTTGAATCATTAACTGTTGTTAAATCCTTTCACTTGTTAACTCAGAACTCTCCATGTAGAGTTGCTCCTCGGAGTTGTACATGGAGAAGCATGTCTTTTGATTTGCACTGTGCATTATAAGCATTGTGTTTCTCTCCTCATCAGCTCTGACTCAGGACATTATGTACCTAGTTTCAGCAACTCTGAGGGATAAACTTCTATAGAGTGATCCCTGGAACAGCCCATGTCTATATGTATTTTACCGTCCCAACTGGACATCTTCAATATAATAAATTTTCAATGGTTGCTATAATAGATACTTAGAAACTTTATGAGATCATAAAATAAATGTATACTTTTTAAAAAGTCAAAAATATGTACAGAAATAGCTAAAAGAGAAAGTAAATATGTTGTGTGTCCATCAGCCAGTAAATCCATTCCTTAGAGATTATTACCATTCATTTGTTCTCCCAGACATTAGAAATAAATGTAGATAAGTCTACATGTTTCATAAGTGGCAGTGTATAATTATAATTCCAGTTAGTAATAATTGATGACAATCTATGTTACTGCATATAACATTCTTTTTAAACTTTTTTGGTATTTCATTGTAGGAATAACCCCCAAATTTTAATATATAACCAATTCCCTATTGATATTTAGCCAATTCCAAATTTATTTCTATTACAGACAAAACTACAGAGATCATTTTTGTATGTACATATGCACATTTGTTTATTTCTTTAGTGTAAATGTTTAGATGTGGGATTGCTGGTTCAAAGGCTATTTTTAAATGTTGATAGATTGTTCCATGTTGCTCTTCAAAAGGGTGTTTTAAGAACAAATTTATGCAATTTATGAGAATGGTGCTGCTGCCATCTCATTGCCAAGAATGGTCAAGGCTGAGATTTTACTCTACATGCAAGTTAACAATCTCATGGATGCTGGAAGATGACATGAGACTCCTGGTCAGAGACAATGCACAGAAATAAAAGTAGTCAGAGGATCATCATTTTCTTGTGCTGCTTCCTTGAGCCCTAATTAACACTGGGTGATGTGATGAGGGCCAGATGATTCTAGCACATGCAGTAGATGAGGAGAGGAACCCCGTGCTTAGGGAATCTGAATCTTTCATAATAGGCTGCAAGTAAACCTGCCTAACCTTTGCCCTAGGTCCAAACATTATTATGCTGGATAGTGAACAAACCTGCCCGCGCCTCCACAGGGAGACCTTTCTTTATCTATGGAGGATATTTGCTGTAGAAACATCCTTAAAAACATAGTCTGGAACAAAGGCTCTCAGTGCCCCGGCTTATAAAACCGGTGAAGAATTGTCTCAGAATCATTGCTGCTAAGATGATACAATCATTTTTTTTTCATTTTTGTAATTTTATGGATGAAAAATACTATTTTAGTACTGCTTTAATTGTGCATTTTTTTGCTTATTGACAGAGTTGAATATCTGTAAATATTTATTAGCCATTTGTATTACTTACCTGTTTATATTGTTTGCTTAGTTTTCTGTGGAAGTGTCCTTTTACTTATTGATTTGTAATAGATCTTTACGTGTAATGGCTATTAATGACTTGGTATATCATTTACTAGTATTTCTTATAGTATATTCTTTTAATGCTGTTTCTGGGAGCTTTTGCTGCATGGAAATCTTTACTATGTATATTGTCAGTTCTGCTATTTTCTGTATGGCCTCTGAATTTCCCCCGAAAGGTTATTAAAATATTCTTTGTATATATTCTTTTATTGGATATTTTGTATTACATATTTAGATTTGTTTTAAAAAATGGTTATGATAATATTCTAAATTTACTTTTCTAAATGTCTGGGCATTTTTCTAAGACATTTTTGATAAGCCATCACCCTGTTGTTTTGATTTGACATATCCAGTATAACATACTACATCCTTATTATTTTCTCAAAACTGACAAATCAGTAAGCAAAATGTTTGTCTCCTACAGTGAGTATGAATTTGATTGAATCCATCTTATAGATTACTATATGTAGTGGTTTGTTCTTAGTGGATTTTAATCTTACGAAATATAAAATGTCCTTTTTTGCCCTATTTAATGATTTTTGCCTTGGAGTCTACATTGTCTGATATTACTATTGCCATCTGTGTCAGTTTTGTGTATACCAGATAGATCTTTATTGCCCATATGTTGACTTTTAGTCTTTCTGTATTGTTTTGCTTTACTTGCCTCTCTTATACACCAAACATCATACAGCTGGACTTTCATTATCCTTTTAATCTTCACTCCTCCCAATTTGAAAGTATGCCTTTATTTATTTATTTGCCTTATTAAAATATCTGTTTTTAAAAAGATGATTATAGATTCACATGCAGTTATAAGAAATGGTACAGAAAGATCCTGTGTAGACTTCATCCAGTTTCCTCCAATGGTAACATCTTGCATAAAACTATAGCATATTATACCTAGGAAATTGATACAGATACAATTGACAGACCATACTCAGATTTCATCAGTTTTATATGCACACATGTGTTTAGTTCTCAGCAATTTTATGTAGATCTTGTGACTCCCAAAGCCAAAATACAGAGCCATTCTATCACAAGGATCCCTTGTGCGAAAGAGTTTATCTTTTAATAGGAGATTTTAACTTATTCATATTTACTTTTTTTTCTCCCCTGCAAGTTTTCAAATCTAGAACTATGTATAATTGACTTTCTGTTACTCTCACATCTCCATTTAATAAGGTGAAACCTTGACTCTTTGGCTTCCCCCATTCTTGGCTCTATTGATTTTATTTCCTTTGTACATTACTTCTGTTTTTCTCTAACCATCCCTTTCAACTTTACCACTACTGTTTCAGTGATGATTTAGATTTAATTATAAGGTCACTGGTTACTTTTTATATTTTATCTTCCCCTTTTAAAATTATTTATTCAATCAGGGAAGTTACTACTTTTTTTTTTTTACCTTCTCTTTGAACAATATGTGTATACTATTACTTATTGGATGGCTTCAAAGAAGGTCATACATTTGATGCTTTGTTTCTTATTATTAAACTAGAGGCCTGATGAGGCCTGATGCACAAAATTTGTGCAAGAGTAGGCCTTCCTTCCCCTGGCTGCCGGCAGCGGCTCCCCTCTGGTACCCGGGACCCGGGCTTCCCTCGCAGCCCCAGCTTCATCCAGAAGGACATCCAGTCTAATTGGCATATTACGCTTTTATTATTATAGATGTTTCCCCTTTTTTTCTATATCAAGAACTTTTTTTTGCTTCATTTTTAGGTCTACATGTGCCTTATCTTTAAGAGTCACTGGTTTGATTTCTATGTTTATTTTAACTGTCTTCTGCTATCTACTCTGCCAGTCTTCAAAAAAAACACAAACAACAAAAAAACACACAGAACAAATGTTTATTGACATGTACTAGGCCCTAAGGGTATAGTTATAATTAAGACACATTCTCTGAATTGAGGAATTTATTGTCTGCTAGGATAGAAAATTACCTCAGCATATAGGGAATGATACACTACGTGCAAGAGCAAAGAAAAAGTAGGTGATAGATAAGATCTAAACCTGACTAAAGGATGGATAAGAGGGTGCCAGGCTGAGGAAGAGCAAGGGTGTTCCAGGGGAACGCAGCCTTAGTGGCAAAGCCTAAGTGCAGTCTGGTGGTTGAAGCAAGTGTGGGAGAAGACTGGTGCCAGGCAGGTGGAATGTTGTGGTGTATCATTTTATCAGAAAGAGAGCCTTCCTTTAATGGTACCTTAATACACTTGAGAATGAGGAAGAAGAAGACCCAAGAGGAGACTGGGAAGCAGTTATTTGAGCGATGGAAGGAGATATAAGAGCATGTGGTGCCATAGAAAGCCAGAGATGGGGCAGGCCTGCAAAGAGGGCTGGTTATGAGTGTCAGCTCTGCACAAATTCAATTGTAATCCACTCTTCTTGATCATTTCCTCAGTTTGCCCATGTCTTGATTTCTAGACTCAACCAGAAAAGTCCTTTCCTCAACATAGTGTCTCTTGATCAGTTTCAGCAGTATACAGAAATAACAATTAAGGTTCGGCCTGTTTTCTTGATTTGGTACCACATTATGCACTTTTACCTTTTGGTACTATGCTACAAGGCTGCCTAAATGCTCTTTTTATCTCTCACTTCATTGACATATCTCTGTGGGATATTTTGCAAGTAAGTATTGTGTTACAACTGCCTTCAATATATGACACTACCTTATTGCCTGTTCTTTTTACCTTTTTCTGTGTCTTTTCAATTTAAGTCGAGAATCCTCTTGAGTTTTCAACTTGTTTTCCAGGTTCCTTTATCACACTATGAACCTAGCCTTTGTGTGGCCCTGGCTCAAGTTCATTCCCATTGCCTCCTTTTGCTTATTTCATGAAAAGTCCTTTTCCTTCCTCCCTTTTCCTCTACCAAAGCACAAGCCGTCTTCTCTGCAGTTGCTGCCATCCTGCTTCTCTCCGCCTCATCGACTCCCCATCTCACTTCAAATCTCAGTGGTAAACATATGTTCTCCCTTGTCTGTACCGCTTAATTTCTCTTTCCCACTGTTACTGCTTTCTCTGTAATGGTATTATTTAACTTTGGTAAGCAGTTTATAATATGAAAGACGTAGTTGAAAATAAAGCATTATAATAAAATCATGTCCTATAAAGCAAGTTGTTTCCCAGGGAGTGTGAAGGTCTCAGGATACAGGTTAAATGGCTGTTGTTTTGTATTCCTTGATTATGTGAGTATAAAAGTTCATTGTGTTGCCGAGAAATTCTCACTTCATAACCATTGCAGATAAATGATTGGATTAAACAACTAATAAAATAAAGGTCCCCTATTTTTAATTCAGACTATTTGTTAAATGGAAAATGATATTTTTATATGTTGCAAGAGTCTTTAAAGAAGCATTTTGAATGAACTGAAAAGAAAATGTCTCCCAAAGATACATTTTTACAAGTGTCCTTTTGGAAAAATTTAGTGTACAGACTAATATTTACATATTTGCATTAGGTGGGAAAAATAATTTTGTTTTTAAATCCCATTCTCCTCACAAAATAGAGTTATTGTATCTTGTGCATTGGTTTATTGCCCATTAGGATATTCATTGGTTATCACAAATCACCTCCACGCCTTGGCAAAGGTCCAGACAGTACATGGACAGTTTGGACTTCTGCGTTGGTCGCTGCTGTCCACATGTGTCCCGAGACTATGGCTCTATTCCCCCTTTTCAGCTTCATTTCCCAGGGAAAAGTAGATCGAGTTATCCTTTCTCTTCCATATGTTCTTCACCACCAAAACACTTTTATATGTCATCTTAGTTGATAGAAAGGAGTTTAGAATCAGTGAAGGATGTTAATAACAATGGGTTTGCGCATTTTTTTCTATGCCTTGTTTATTTTTAAAAACAGATTTTTAATTTTATTAAAATTTTTGAATAGTGTTGCTGTTTGCTTTTTCATTTTTTGGTTATTTTTAGCTTTATCTCACAAAAAGTTAACTCTAACGATTATTTATTGTTGGAAAAAATAAAGCATCCATTTACATTTCTCTTGTACACTGAAGATATTTGAACATGTAATACATATATTTATAGTTTGTAACTCACCTTTATATATGTTGCCTCAATGTAAAATTTTATTTAACAGCCTAAAAATGACATTGCATATATGGCACTTGCTGCTTTTGCTAGTATCCCATCTCTGTAGTGGTAAAAGCTAGCTGGGAAACAGTTATAAAGTTTGTGGTTTGTATGTCAAATAGAATTTGACTTTCACAATTTGTCTCAATCTTTTCATCAAGAATATGAACATTCACATGAATGATATCTAATTTGCAAATGTTTCTTTGGTTTTATAGAACTTTTACTTTCTGATAAATGCCATTTTATAAAGAGAGTGAAAAGAGCTTGGGTGAGCAATTTATAGGCTGTGGAGTAAGCAGTGTTGTCCAAAGATTATACAGTCAAATGCATCCATCCACCTTGGCAGATGGTATTTCCTTCTCTTGAAGATTTCTAGGAATAAAGCATCCAGTCTCCCAAATTAGCTGACCAGTCAGTTGAGTTGGATACTTATACATTGTTGTTTATTTCCTAAATTACATTTTTATAATTTAAATTTATTTCATTTTTTTAAATGCTCTAGAAATTTATGTACACTTCTAGAATGTTTTTCATATTCTAGTCTTTTTTTTAAATATATTTTATTGATTTTTTACAGAGAGAAAGGGAGAGGGATAGAGAGTTAAAAACATCGATGAGAGAGGAACATCGATCAGCTGCCTCCTGCACACCCCCTACTGGGGATGTGCCCGCAACCAAAGTACATGCCCTTGACTGGAATAGAACCTGGGACCCTTCAGTCCGCAGGCCGACGCTCTATCCACTGAGCTAAACCCGGTTAGGGCACTTTTTTTTTCTTTTAAGAAAGAGAGTTACTGCCCTCACTGGTTTGGCTCAGTGGATAGAGTGTCGGGCTGCGGACCGAAGGGTCCCAGGTTCGATTCCAGTCAAGGGCATGTACCTTGGTTGGGGGCACATCCCCAGTAGGAGGTGTGCAGGAGGCAGCTGATCGATGTTTCTCTCTCGTCGATGTTTCTAACTCTATCCTTCTCCCTTCCTCTCTGTAAAAAAATCAATAAAATATATATATTTTTAAAAAGAGAGTTACTAAGTAACTTCTTTGGAAAATTATTCCTCTTAATTTACCTGGGGGCTTATTTTGAAATAAAATATATATGGTAAAAGAAAGAGCTGTATCATTTCACATTTTGGTGTAAAAGATTTGATATTTGTGCAGTTGTAAAAATTTTTTTTTCCTTGACAGATTTATACTTGTGGTAGGTGAGATGGTTGCATAAGCAAGTGATCTACTATGTAATTATTTTTTCCCACATTTATAACATGACCTGTTCTTCAGCACTGTAAATCTTTAGAAAGGGTTTAACCTCTGTCCTGTGTTGTGGAAGCATCCCTGCAAAGATGGTTTCCATCTGCCCCTAACAGGCCCTAAAGCATTACCGGGTCAGGACTACTTCTTTTTAAAGTTTTTGACTTGGGGATGGAGTATGGATTCTAAACCACGAAGGAAGTATGAACTTAGGTTCACACTGTGTGCATAGTACATGCCTAATAAGGATCTGATTTTACTCTGGTGACTCTCCCCCATTTCCTAGGTTGATATCACATCTTGGGCTTCCTGGCCAGTGAGCTAAGTTTTCCTATTCCTGGTTTTATGGATAGGGTGATCTTTGCTGAGTTTTGGCTTTCCAAATGGCACCTGTGGCTTGAAATGCCATTTTTGTGTGAGTGTCAGAAAGTCTCCTTATAACCACTAAGGCCTTGTAACTGATGCCATGAGTCATATTAGCTTCAGCTCCTGCTTTCTGTCTTTGACTTTCTCTGTTTCTCACAACTGTGGATTTTCCTCACTTGTTTCAAGCTCAGCTATTTATTTACTATTTTACTTGTTACATTTTGTCAAGCATTTCACTGGGTTTGGGTCTAGCTGGGATTGAGAAATAGAAGGATGCTGTTAGGTAATTTTAAATTATTTTAGACATAAATTCTTTGTGTGCTTATTACCTTTTCTGTCAACAAGTCAGATACTTTGTTTTTACTATGTGCTGAGTACTTTGAGAACTGAAGATCTTTGGCTAGATTCCCTCCTTCAAGAAATTTAGTTCTATGTAGACCCTTGTGGAACTAGGTTATATATCTGATACAAAGATGGTACCAGCAGGTAGCAGAAAATAAGCCTACTTATGTGTTTTATAAATTGTAATGTTTTATAATCTTAGCACTAAAGTTTTCAAAGGCTAGCACATTGTTCTACTAAAGAGACGTTAGTACATTCCTCTTCTTTTACTTAGAAGAAGTTAAGCTCCAGACTTTACAGGTACAAAAATCATGTTTGATTTCCGTGTTTGTGTAGATGAGAGGTTAACTACTCAATGTGAATGGGGTCAGGCCTGGGCTGTGAGCTGGTAGAGCTGGCCAGGAATAATGGCAGATACGCAGAGAGCTCAGACCTCTTCTAAATGGGGTCCTCTTGATTGTTAAAAATTACAAACTAGTCAAATTTTAAAAAACACTATCTGATCCCAATAAAATGTCTGTTGGCATAGTTTGACTCATAATCTCTGGGTTTACAATCTCTATTTAGAAAGGATTCATTATTATATTTTATATATTCTATCATAAAATTAACAAGATATATTAGTTATTCATAATAGTCCACAAATTCAGAAAAGTGTAACCTATTCAGTTTGAAAGTTCTATCTAACAAGTAGCTGTTTATCAATGATAAATCTTTTGGGACAGTTGACTTCCTAAGTTGAAAATTAAAATATTTTAAAAAATTCTTATCTTACAGGTAAAAGAATGTCACATGTCAACATTTGTACCTGAAGTCAACATGCCATTTTCAGGCTGCATGGATGAGTGCCAACTTTTGCATCTCCTGTGACCTTTCTATCTGGGGGTGAGTGATTTTTAAGAGTGGCTGGCAACAAACCAGATGCCAGCCAGCCGTAGATCACCCTAACAAATAATGCTAAGAGTTATAAATTAAACACTGTCTGGTGATCTGTGATGTGTAAGGCAGTTAATTTAGTTGGTCTGGATTAACTGTCAGCTCCAGAAAACTATATTCCCATAATGTGAGATCTGTACTCCGCATGTTTTGGCATGAATAATAATTAACAATAGGGAATCACTTGTTAAAAAGTGAAATTAAAAATGTCTAAGATTTTTTGGATTTACAGCAGTATTTTAGTGGTTTACCATATACTTTAAATAATTTTAATTTTTAAAGTTTAAACTCAGTATTTCTTGAAGGATAGTTATAATTTTGTATAAAATGGGAGTTTTGAGATGATACATCTTCCATTGTTTTATAATATTAGTTTTACTTCTCATGTAGCATAAAATTGTATCCATTTCAATATTTAGATTTCTTAAAAATACATCAGATAGATTATACTAGAGATTCACATTTACAGTGAATTTTTTTTTCAGTTTCATTCTGGGAAATTACATTGGGTAAAAAGCCTGCTTATTACCTCATTTTTATGCATTTTTCTGCTTATTTAAATTATTTTATCAAGCCATTCGATTTTTTTAGAATATCCTTCAGAGAGTTTATGCATCTTATGGAAGACACCTGACCTTTTGAAGCTTCATAATTCACATCTGCATGTCACCAGTCTTCCCCATGTTAACAGTTCTGACCATGTTTTATTATCTATGCCTGCGGCGCCGAGCCAGGACAGCTGCGAGGGGAGAAATGATGAACAGCCATAGAGCCATAGAATCAAACATCCGGACTTCCCCTCTGAATGCAGAGGTGGTCCAGTATGCCAAAGAAGTGGTGGATTTCAGTTCCCATTATGGAAGTGAGAATAGTATGTCCTATACCATGTGGAATTTGGCAGGTGTCCCAAATGTATTCCCAAGTTCTGGTGACTTCACTCAGACAGCTGTGTTTCGAACTTATGGAACATGGTGGGATCAGTGTCCCAGTGCTTCCTTGCCATTCAAGAGGACGCCGCCTAATTTTCAGAGCCAAGACTATGTGGAACTTACCTTTGAACAACAGGTGTATCCTACAGCTGTTCATGTTCTGGAAACCTATCATCCTGGAGCGGTCATTAGAATCCTAGCTTGCTCTGCAAATCCCTATTCCCCAAGTCCACCGGCTGAAGTAAGGTAAGACTCATTTTGTAATGATCATGTCATATGGCTGAAAGGTGTTGGTTGTTTTAATGTTGCAGGGCTTGTTTTATTGGAAGCATTCTCTTACGTAATTTAAACAGATTTGATTTTTAAAATGTTCCTTAGTTTTATGATGGGAAAAGAAAGATCACATATATGAAGATTTAATACATTCTTCATACCCTTAACACCTCACATCATAATATTCAGAGATTGTGAAATTTGTGTGTCACAGAATTTACTATTTACATAATTAATTTGCATAGCAGTGCCTCTTTATTTCTCTTTCTCTTGTTTTTGTAGTTCAGCCTGCTGGTTTTTAAACATATAGTTATTTGACTAGTATATTCATGTTTCATTAACCTAAAAAGTGCATAATTTAAAAAAGTACCCTGTTCTCCATGAGCCTAGAACTCATCTCTCCCTCCCTGAAAAAATACAAAAAATGCCACTTTTATCCACTTCCTTGGCATTTTTCCAGAGTTTATTTATATAAATATAAGCAAATACAAATATAGTCGTATTTTCTTTATACACAAAAATAAGCACACTGTTCATATTGTTTTGTACCTTATTTCATTTAGTCGTACATATTGGATCTTTTCATAGAAGTGCAAAGAGTGCTTACTCATTCTTTTCTACAGTTGCAAGTAATGCACAATGTATGTGTACCCCACCTTGTTAACCACTCCCCTATTGATGAGTACTCAGTTGTTTCCATACTTTTGTTGTTATAAACTTTAAGACAGTATATAACCTTGCCATGAGTCATTTCACATGTGGGATAAATTCTCAGGATTGCTGGGCCAAGTTTCTCTGCATTTGTAATTTTAATATATAGTGTCAACTCTACCTCCAAAGAGGCTCTACCTATTTATATTTCCAATAGCAATGTATGTGCATACATGTTTTGCCAAAGCCCCTCCTACAGAGTGTGTTAATACATTTTAATATTTTTGTCAATTTGGTAAGTAAAAAATGTTGTCTCATGTTAATTTTAAGTTAAAATTATTATCTGAGATTGAATATTTTCTCATGTTTAAGAACTGTTGATATTTCCTTTTCCTTGAGCTATCCGATTATATTATTTGCCCATTTTTCTATTACTTGTTGATATTATCACTTTTTAGATCTTTATATCACTTTATTAATTAAATATTTGTGTGTCTACTGTGTATTTAGCATTATGCTAGTTATTAGGGGTACAACAGAGAACAAAATAGATAAAATCCCTGCCCTTGAGTTTATTCTAGCCCCAGAGCAGTTTGTTGGCACCTGTTAAATTGTAGGATCCCAGGTGCCAGTGGAGGAGTAAAGGGGGCAGGGATCAGCTGCCACCTGACATACTGCTTCTATGACTTCCCTGTTCCCTCAACTCCGAGGAACAACTCTCACCCACCCAAGAAACAAATGTAGAGCACAGCTCAACTCAAGCTGGAGACTGCTGGTATGATCTTATTGTTCTTTTAGAACTGCCTTGATAATTCATTGTGAACAATATTATTAATGAACCAAATTATTTTTTAAAAATCTTTGTTATTGAAAGTATTACATATGTCCCCCTTTTTTCCCCACCCCCCACCCTAGACCTTCACCACACTATTGTCTGTGTCCATGGGTTATGCATATAAGCATACAAGTCCTTTGGTTGGTCTCTTCCCACCTACCCACCCACCCCTGCCTTCCCTCTGAGATTCGACAGTCTGAATCAAATTATTTTAAACACAAAAAACCAACATCTTTTAATATACAGATTTTTTTTTTCTGAGGGGAAATAAAAGTACTTTGGGCAGAATCCTTTTTTATATAAGAATTGCTTTTTTTGAACTCTGTCATTCTTTGCCTCTTTCCTACAAAATTATCCACCTTTTTCTTAAAATGCTGACCAAATTTAGAGAGAAAAGTCTATGAAACATGTAATGTCTTTCCTCTAATCTAACACTTTATGTCTGCATAGTTGATTGTGAGTATAACCTATACTCTTGGTTTCTAGCTGAGAGCTCTAATGTGTGATAGTGACTAAAGTGACAGCTTTATTTACAGTGAAATCTAATGTACTTAACTCATTTTTAGCTTTATTCTACAGAAAATACCATTACATTTTAGGAGAGAAAGAATCTAACCAACATTTACTATTGCACAATAGAAAGGGGTCTTTTTAATTTTCCTGATTATGAAATCAGTAGATGTTTCATTGTTTAAAAAGCTTGTTATGAAATACAAAAAAAGAAAAGAAAATATACAGGGGGGAAAAACCAGTTCACAATCTTCTGCCTGGATTCAGTAGCTGTTCTCATTTTGGTGAATTTCTTTGGATAGTCAGAAACATGGCTTGCTCTGCCAGTTCAGTCTGAGAACAAAACAGAGAGCCAGACAAATATGGCTTGTGTTCTTTTGAGTTTACAGGCCAGCATGGAAGAGGACCCTGAGATTATAGGGAACATGTGTTGGTGGAAGGAAGAGCCTCATTCGTTGGGCTCAGGGAAGTTTTCACCGCGGCAGTGACTTTGAGACTGAGGGTTGAGGAGGCTTAAGTTTGGATAGGAAAGGTGGAGAGAGAAGAGCACATGCAAAGGTGAAATCATGAGCTGAGATCTTGGTGTTTGAAGAAGTGAAAGTCCCAGAGTGTAGGAAATGAACTGTTGAAGGGTCACAAGCATGGAAGTGCCATTCTTAAGCTCTAGAGTAGTGACTTCCAGACTTTGGGATGTCATAGAGTGCTTGGGTCCAGTTTCCCAGAAGCAGACCTTGAGAAGTCTATTCCTATGCAAGTGATTTGTTATGGAAATCCTCTTGGAGAGACCAGTATGGGAGTGGGGAAAGCGCTTTGGGGAAGGGAAGAAGTCAGGCAAGGATGCAATTTCATGTGTGCAGTCCTAGTCGGCCTGGAGGCAAAGTTGCTAGAGAGATGGGCTCTCACACTGCTGCACCTGTCTGTCGTCAGTTATAGGCTATGGGAATGGAAATCTTTCAGGCACATACCACACCCTGGCTGAAGAGCCTCCCCCAGTCAGTTCTCTGAAGGCTGGAGGTGGAAGCCCTTAGTTGAAGCAAGCAGAGTACAGGTAGGGAAAGTCAGCTACTATAGTGAACCTAATAGTAATGATAATAAAAATTAGAGAACTGATACAGGGTTGTCAGATTATTTACTTAGCTAAATAAACACATATTAAAAAGGCAAACAAATGAAATATCAACATCATTTATCATCACCATCATCTCATAGTAAAATCTCAGTTTATACTGAGAAATTATCAAAATCTCGAAAAA